TTTAGTGTCTAAACTCTTAGTAAGATTTCAGATACTTGAAATAAAATGCTGCTTCTTCTCTTGCTCCACAAAGAGTGTGAAATGTCGTGGTCACTTCCCAGGTGGGTGGGAGGCCGGGAAGAGACAGGCCGCCGTTCACGTGACGTCTAATAGCTTTTAGTGTCTAAACTCTTAGTAAGATTTCAGATACTTGAAATAAAATGCTGCTTCTCTTGCTCCACAAAGAGTGTGAAATGTCGCGGTCACTTCCCAGGTGGGTGGGAGGCCGGGAAGAGACAGGCCGCCGTTCACGTGACGTCAGTGATGAGGGCGCTCCTCCTCCAGGAGGAACTTGGCCCAGAATTGATGTCGTAAAGTTTCATTCTTTTAGAGGAATTTTCTAAGCCACATTTTAATCTTAATTAAAAGCAATATTCTGGTCACTTGTGTTAAATAGACTTTAAAACTCCCGGCTTATGAACGAGAACTCCTGCCTGTGGAAATAGTGCCACGTGCTGTGGGAAAGCACCCACCAGCCACTGGACGCGGGGAAAATGTCCATTCGGGTGTGATGACGCCTGCTCTGAAGTTTCTCTTTTTATTTGTTTTTAAGAAGCAGTCACATTACCTAATGGGTGTAATGAAGCTAATCATGCTAAACACACCCACATCATAGAGTGGCATTTAGTGTCAGTTACTCACCAAAAAGGAAACTAGAGCGGTGGCTGATGCACACGATGTCCGTGGTGGTCTGAGTACAGGAGGCCGAGGCGAGCGGCTGGCACATCCGTCACCAGGGCAGCCTGGGGTTTGAGATGAAGCCATTGGCGAGCATGCACAGCGATGTCTTCAGGGCACTAACCTGCCTCCGCGCCCGCCCAGGCTGAGTTCATGCTGAGAGACGTGCCGGGGCGCCGGGCCCTGCTCTGGCTTCAGCTTCCCGGTGCTCCTGGCCAGCCACTCGCCTCCTGTGCTTAGCGCCCGCCCCACCCCAGGCTGAGAGGGATACAGTGCCAAAGCTGCGATTTTCTTTTCCTCTATTGATTTCAGCATGAATAAAGCTTCCAAGAGGTTAATATTTAGCGGAGCTAGGAAAACTTAGCGTTTTCTCAATTCATTAAATACCTGAGGTGTAAAGCAACTCTGAGGAAGCTAGAGGAAAGTTCCAGGTGGTGCCTCTGTTGCCTGAAAGGAGTTCTGGCGGCATCTAGCATTGCCATGCCGTCCCCACGTGAGTCGGCAAATGGGTGTGTATCACTGAGGAATGAGGGTGACACAGAGGAGCCGCGTGTGAATGAGATGCACTGCGGAATATACACCCACCGCCCCTGCCAGGTTAGGAGAGGGCGCTGCCGGAGGAATGGGATTGGAGTCGGGCCAGGTGGGGCTGCGTTCTGCCGCTTACCTGACTGTGTGACACGGGGCAAGTCCCTGAACTTCTCGGCGCCTCCATGTTCTCACCAGGAAATGGTTATTGTGGGGTGATGGAGTAACGACAGGCCAGCCACAGTGGCTGCTGCAAGTTAGTGTCAGAAAGTGGAGCCGTGATGATGGTCTTTGTTTTTATCATCATACCAAGGCAAAAGCAGTGCAGCGAGCAGCAGTGTGGGAAGTGCACCGGCCCCTTTGGTCTCACGCCTCACAATCCCACTGTCCTGTCTGTCTGTCTCCCACCAAAGACCGGGAGTCCTGGACACCTGGGAGTTCGGTTTTCCCCCCGGCCTTCAGCCCTGGGCTGGCTCAGTGCACAGCAGGGACATGTGTTGAATAAATCAATTAATGAATAAGAGAAGCTCTCTGCTAAGAAGTAAAACTTTTCTTTATAGAATTTTCTTTTTAAAATATAAAAAAAAACATCAGAAAAGTTTATTGGTTACAAAACTCTCTTATATAAGGCAAATGAGTTGCTGTCAATGAAATGTTGAACAGCTAATATGATCAGTTTGTTGCTAGGATACAAGTATGTTCATTGGGCTTCACAGTGCAGCAGGTCCTCCAATAACGTCTTATCCCGCGTTATTGTGTTTAACATCGATGAGATGCTGTGGAAGCTCCGCTCTCGCACACGTCGTTAGCCTGTGGTAGCGTTGCTCTCGTATAGGTCCGTGGTGGAAAGCCGCGGAGCCCGTTTAGGACAGCACGTGAGGCCTGCTGCCGGGCACGCACGGCCAGCCACTGTCTCACGCTGCTGGTGCCCGCTTCTCTCACCGCACGGCTATTTGGAAGATGATGTGAGAGAGAGTACCCCAGGGTGGTCTGTGGTGATTCGCGGTGGAGTCACAGAGGCAGCTGCTGGGTGCCCACGAGGGAAGAGCCCACATTCGAGCACGCGCAGTGCAGTGCGCGAGGAGGGACTCGCTCAGAAGACACAGGTTTCTGCAGGTGCGGATGCCCCACAGTGCGTGATGTAAAGTGACGGGCAGCACGCAGACCCTGGGAAGAAAGGGGTTACGAGATTTTGAGACAAGCGGGGTATTTCCGGTAAATGGGAGTAGGGCTGCTTTCTCTCTGCCTCGGCCAGGACTCTAGGGGACTTTACCTGGATTAGGGAATACAGATCCTTAGAGGAAAGAAACCATTCCACGCAGGGGAAAAGCGCGTTTCTGTGTCAGAAGACAGAACCCAGTGGGAATGGTGCCGTGCCACTAAAGTGTAACCAGAAAGGCCCCTCTCCGTACCCTCACTGCTGCCGTGGCTCCTTGCCCACATTTTCCATTAAAGTTGGGTTTTCAGAAACTTGGTATTAATCCCAAATTTCGCTAAGTCGCAGTTCACTGTTTTCGTTTTGGCTCAATTTGATAGACAAGAATGTGGCATTAAACCTTATTTTTATGATCCTGAAATTATTGCATCATTCCTTCTATTGCTTCTGGAAACGACACAAGAAGGTGGCAGGCTTTTCCAGCTGATGAAATTAAGCTTCATCTCATTAGTCATCACGAAGCTATGCACAGCAGAGAAGGGACGGCTCTGAGCAGAAACAGGCCCCTCACCAGTGTGGCCGGAGGGACGCGGGCAGCCGGTGGGCGCTGCGTCTCCTTTAGGAGGGTTACCTTCGGGAAAATGAGGTGGAGAAACCTGTCTGGAATCCCAGATCCAGAAACCACCACCAAAAGCCCATTATGGAGCCTAAATGGGTTTATTATCTCATGGCAAGTCAGATTCAGGTTGTAAATATTTCATCAGTGCAAGGGGAAGCTAATTGATGGTTTTGTTTTTGAGTTTTTATATTTTGTTTGAAAGTAATTAGTAAAGTGAAAAGAAATTCTTTTCATAATTACATTCTTCCAGTTTAAAATATTTCTTTTTATTTTTATTGATTTGAGAGATGGGAAAAGGGGGAGGGAGGGAAGGGGAAGGGGGCAGGAAAGAGGGAGGGAAAGAAACATCAGATGTGTTGTTCCACTTATTCATGCATTCATTGGTTGCCACTTACATGGGCCCTGACAGGGGATCGAACCCACAAACTTGGCATATCAGGACGATGCTCTAACCACTGAGCTGTCGGGCCAAGGCCTAACATAATCTTAAGTTTCAAGAATCCTACTGTACTTAAAAGAGAAAAACACACCTCTGATTAGTCACGATTTATTTTAGTCCAAAGCTACTACATAAATAAAACCTATTTTGACAGAATTTTCAGGACTAGAAAAAGCACTTGGGGTGCTTCACTCTTAAATGGACGTTTGATAAATCAGAAGGAACCAGAGAAAGGCACGTGCCCAGCTCACAGCGCGGGAGCGTCGGAGGAGCTGCTTGGCATCGTGTGTGCTGTGCACCTGGCAGGCGGGCGAGGGACAGGTGTGTGTCCATGTAAGAATCAGATTAAAACAACTACAAGTTGGTTGTTTGTGTGATTTTATTTAGTTTAGGGGAAATAAGAATTTAGCTCTATTTGAATTTTATTCCATATCATGATAGGACTTGTTTATGATAGTAAAGGAGTTTACTTGGAAAAGTTCCTCTTAAGAGGTTCGCTTGCTTGCTTCTCAGTGATACAAATGTTAGGTCACATTTTCTGAACCACAATGTGCAAGGGCCGTAAAGCTGCCAACCAGAGGGGCCGCCATTTCCTTCCTGCGAAGTGCCATACCCACACGCCCACCCCACCTTTCCAGCTCCTGGAACAGCCTTCCTCCCATCCTCCACACCTCCACATCCCCACATCCCAGCATCCTCCACATCCCCACATCCCAGCATCCTCCACATCCCCACAACCCCGCATCCTCCACATACCCGCATCCTCCACATCCCACCATCCTCCACACCCCTGCATCCTCCACACCACATCCCAGCATCCTCCACATCCCAGCATCCTCCACATCCCCACAACCCCGCATCCTCCACATACCCGCATCCTCCACATCCCAGCATCCTCCACATCCCAGCATCCTCCACATCCCCACAACCCCGCATCCTCCACATACCCGCATCCTCCACATCCCAGCATCCTCCACATCCCAGCATCCTCCACATCCCCACAACCCCGCATCCTCCACATACCCGCATCCTCCACATCCCAGCATCCTCCACATCCCAGCATCCTCCACATCCCCACAACCCCGCATCCTCCACATACCCGCATCCTCCACATCCCAGCATCCTCCACATCCCAGCATCCTCCACATCCCCACAACCCCGCATCCTCCACATACCCGCATCCTCCACATCCCAGCATCCTCCACATCCCAGCATCCTCCACATCCCCACAACCCCGCATCCTCCACATACCCGCATCCTCCACATCCCAGCATCCTCCACATCCCAGCATCCTCCACATCCCCACAACCCCGCATCCTCCACATACCCGCATCCTCCACATCCCAGCATCCTCCACATCCCAGCATCCTCCACATCCCCACAACCCCGCATCCTCCACATACCCGCATCCTCCACATCCCAGCATCCTCCACATCCCAGCATCCTCCACATCCCCACATCCCAGCATCCTCGAATCCGCTCATCATCCCTGCATCCACATCCCCACATCCCAGCATCCTCCACATCCCCATATCCCAGCATCCTCCACATTCCCACATCCCCGCATCCTCCACATCCCGGCATCCTCGCATCCGCTCATCTCTGCATCCTCGGGGTTTTCTCTCACTCCCGGGTACCTCGCACTGAGTGTTCCGCCCCAGGCCTCCTTGGGGATTTGTCCTTGACAACCTTACAGTCTCGGAATTGGGGCGCTTCCCTTTTAAGAATGCAGACTGAAGGAAAACGGCGTCTTGTTGGGACCTGTATGCCCTAAATGCTTGGCATAGTTCCCGTCCATAATTGCTGGTAAATGGTCACCAGATGGATAACTGTTTCTTCTCCTGTGTTGCAGGTCACCTAGAAGACCGCACTCCTCTCGGCCGGAGAGCGGGAGACTGTCCCGGCAGGGCAGGCGGACAGGAGGAGGACATGGATGGATGCTGAAGCGCGGGGCGGACAGCATTTGAGAGCGCCGGGGCCGGCGGCACCGCGAGGGCGCGCCCCCCATGCAGCTGAGGAAGATGCAGGCCGTCAAGAAGGAGCAGGCCTCGCTGGACCCCGGCTGCAGCGCGGACAGGGCGGTGGTGCTCAGTGCGGCCTTAACTGACGTCTCCGAGGACCTCTCCACCGGAGAGGAGCTGCTTCTGGCTGAAGGAGGCGTGGGGAAAGGCAAGTCCTCCGCGTGCCGGCGGAAGCGGGAGTTCATCCCCGATGAGAAGAAGGACGCCATGTACTGGGAGAAAAGGCGGAAGAATAACGAAGCTGCCAAGAGGTCCCGGGAGAAGCGCCGGCTGAACGACCTTGTGCTGGAGAACAAGCTCATTGCGCTGGGAGAGGAGAACGCCACTTTGAAAGCTGAGCTGCTTTCCCTGAAATTGAAGTTTGGCTTAATTAGCTCCACAGCCTATGCCCAAGAGATCCAGAAGCTCAGGAATTCCGCGGCCGTCTACTTCCAGGACTACCCGGCCGCGGCGCCCGGGGCCTTCGCGGAGGAG